CCTATAGATTATGTTCTTGTTATACTGACACATGCACACATATACCATCGCAAATAAGAACTGTATCACTTCAAACAGTTTGAGCGGTGACAGCAGAAATGTATTCACTCACTAGAGCAGTTGTCCTCGCACACAACACTTACAGCTTGTCCCCCAGATTGCCTTTTACTAATTTGCTCCCCCCAAGTGAGAATTTGTCTTTTATTTAATGTATCTTTATGGCTCTCGGTGGAAAGAGACACTTTTAGATTTATTTACCAAGCAGACATGGCTGAAGTGGCCCTGCAGCCCCTGAGCTGTATTTTTATTTAAACTTAAATTCACTTACTCGGACAAAACAGCCCCAGTCACCTCTAAGGGGCTTCAAGGGACGTTTAGAGAATCCTTGCCCCCCCTCAGCCTCACCCTGATGGGGTTTGGTGGTCAGGTTTGGCCTGGGTGATGAGTCCTGGTTGTGGTTCAGGCTTGCAGCATTTGGATCAGCGTCCCCAGAGTGTGTGTTTGTGTGTGTGGGGGGGTAAGGGCATCACTTTCCTAATGACCCGAAGAGTGGCGGACATACCAACTGTCAACACACATCCTCCTCTTCCTCTCCGTGCAACCCTCCCTCCCAGTGTTGTTTTCTCTCCATGCGGGCTCATCTTCATGCTTTTGCTCGTTGCCAGTTGTGGTGTTTGTGCTTTTCTCTCCCTCGATTCACAGCTGGCTCAAAGGGGGAGAAAGGAGAGAGGAAAAGAGAGAGGGGGGACTAGAACGAGAGGAGAAGCACATAATTACATTGTAAATGCTTCATGATATTTGAAGACTTCAAAGGGCACGATTGAAAGGATGTGTGTTTACTCTCTGTTGACAAGTGCTTTGGCGTGCACCCTCTCCGTGCCTGCTTGTTATGTGTATCCGTCTGTTGTGCATTATCATTATCAAATGGTTTTAGTGTGTGTGTGTGTGTGTGCGTGTGTATGTGTGCCTGACCCCTCTCTCTCCAGTAGCTCTCCTGCTGTAAAAAAAATCCGTGCATTTCACACCAGCATGTGAAGAGTTCAGCGAGAGCCGCTGCGCTACTGAAAACAATGACTTTTAATGTGCTAAAAATGAGTCGCAAAGTGCTGTTACCCAAAGTTCCGCTGACATCTGACCGACGCATTCAAAACGCAAAACGGCACACGTGACTGTTTTCATGCAACAAGTCATTTCTGATAATTACAGTTATTTGCGGCAGCCATCCCCTGTACACCAATTACACCCGTCTGGGGGCATTTCAGTGAGTGCGTATCCGAGAGAAAGAGAGTGGGGGAGAAAAAAGGCAAAGTTGAAAGCAAACAATTGTCACATAAAAACACAAAAGCAAAATTTGATGAGACAATGATATTTTTCATTAGTCAACTCTTCCTCTTCGATATCAAAGCAGGAAGTTGACCTCTGACCCATGGCGAGTAACGGATTAGATGACTTCCTGTCGCCTGGTCCACAACTGCCTCGATTTTCTGCGAGGCCTGTCTTACCTTTATTGTGACTGAGTTTATTTTTGGAGGAACTTTGATGAAATATGTTACGCGATTTAAAAAAAAAGGGGGGCTTTAAGTTGTTTTTGCAGAGCTGTAGAGATGTCATTTAAACAGAACATAATCCATAAGCTGAATAACAAGCAGAGATGCTCGTTCTCTCCCCGCTCCTCTCTCCCCCTGTGTGTGTGTGTGACACAGCTACATAATGTCTGTCTGTCGCTGTCTTAATGTAGGCTGTAGTTCTGGCAACGTGCACTGTACCAGCACACACACACACACAGCATGCAGAAAGAGCTGTCCTTTTGCACAGTAATGTTTATTTATTGGAACATTTTAGAGTCGGCATACTTCTGTCTGTAAATTGACAGCTTGGCACAATACTGAAGGGAAAGGCTCACTGGATCGCTGCTTCGTTTCCACACTGATTGATGGGCAGCGACGGAGGAGGAAAAATATCCCACTGATTACAACTGTTACTGTACTCTCACTGACATTTTACTCATGTCTTTCTAACAGGCCATCAAGTCCTCTGTTTGTAAGTCACTCACATCTCACTTTGCCATAATTCATGTAGCTTTACGTTGCTAAGTGTAATGTAAATGCAGCTTTTTTCCTATGAGGTAAATGACTGTAGGATAAATATACTGGAGGAGGTATGCACTGGTGTGCATGGTGTGTTTTACAGTCTGGAAACATTAACTTTCATCATATATATAATAGTTACTGCCTATTACTTATTTAAAAAAAACATTCAATCAAGCAGTGAGGACCAGTAAGATAGGTCTTCTCCTCCTCTCCAGAGCCAGTGTTTGGTTTTGTCCATTCTGGGCTACTTGAGAAACATGGCAGTGCAACATCATGGACTTAGTTTCTTTCTTAGTTTAAGGTCATTATGCACTGATGAAAATATTAGGAATATTATATGTTATTTCTACCAATAGATTTCTTTAAATGATGCACAATAGTCCTTTAAATAAGCCTTTAGCTACAACTTTTGTATTGTACATCTTATACATTTTGACTGATGATTGGTTTAAAAGTTTCGTCAAAGAAAAAGCAACTTAATGCGAAGATAAACCATCAGATTTCTTTGATGTTACTTTTGACCTCATAACTCCCTTTGCAAAAAGGAGAAAAACATACATTTTCGACAACCTTTTAAAGGTTCACACAAAGTGATTTTTTTTGGAGAAATTTATATATTTTGAGTTTCTGGGCAATTATTCCTTCAAATTTGAAATTAAAAATATCTGCTTTCATTTTGGGCCAACAAAGTGCCGAAGAGAATTAAAATTAAAATTACATGCAGCAGTATATAACTTTTTGCAGACACAGATTACAAATGTAAATGGTACCTGTCCAGCATTAAGCATTAACAGCAGTAAATTAGTACTAATCTATGTCTCAATTTTATCACTTAAATTTGATTAATTTTCACAACATTGAACAAATTCTCAAGTATCTTGATGACTTTCTCAGAACTGACTTCTCGCGGGCTGTTTTGAAATGCACAGCATTTAAAAGGTAATAATTCTACTCCAATAACAGAGAAGCAAGCTGTTGGTGTATTTTTCACCTAAAAATCTTTGTGATGCAACTTTAAACATCGAAACAATCATAGATATCAGCGGACTGACAGTAGAATAAAGAGCAGCTGTGTCCGTGTGGGACTCCATCTTTGCCAGTGAAGTTATCCCACAGGCCTCCAGTCCTTGGCTCAGTGTGCCGGGCGTCCTCTGCCGAAGTCGAGCTCTCTGACAGTGTTTATGGAGCTGTGTTATGTGGTCAGTGTGGTCTCTCGCTCGTCCCCGAGGCCTTGTAAAGAGCCTCACCACAGGGCCACTCAGCCACACTGCGCTCCCGACCACAATACCAGAGCTCACACATGTGTCGAGCAGCGGCACATCGGATCTCCAAATTTATGTCCATGCACCCAACGGGACATCACGAAGACTGGATGTCTCGCTTCACAGTTTTCTCAGGCTCAGCACAACTGTTTTAGTGTTGCTGTAAATAGTTTTTTATCATTGGAAAAAAGCTTTTGCTATTTGGCTCTTGAAGGTGAAGTTACATTTGGGTCAGACTCAAATTTTCTTGCACCCTTTGTTAAAATGAAATGCAAAATTCTCCACAGATCCATTACCAGTCTTTCAAACAACTTATTTATCCTCTATAAAAAAAACATAATTAGCTTTTTCCTGCTCCACTTTTCAGTTTGTAATCATTTCTCTCTTTTTTAAAACAGTTGGAACCAAACTCTACTAAAGTGATGATGTATGAAAGAAATTCCATTGATTGTGCATAATCGTTGGAATTTCCTTTTTTTAATGAAAAGCTTTTCATTATCCAAAAAAGCATTTTGGTTACATAAAGCGTTCATTTGAATTCGTTCAGAGCGTTTCAGAATACAGTTTTCGTATTGTGAATGAGATTGGATTGGAATTTCAATGAACAGCATTGCTCTGAACATTTTATTGTCTCGAATCATTCCCTTTTTCTCTTTCTCCCTCACACACACGCACACACACACACTTACACACTCATACATTCAACCCCGTGTCACAGTGATGATGGCTAACACATGCTGTTTAAACAATCACCCCAATCCGCCCTTATCTTCAGGAGTTATGGGCCTAAATCTACTCATAATACACAGCTCACTGAGGATGTAATCCCTATGAACATCAGAATAAATCCACACTATATCCGCTACATGCAGACTTGCGGCCTGAGCCAGGGCCATTATGGTAAGACTGAGGTAGAGGAGGAGGAGGAGGAGGGTGAGCAAAGAGGCGCTAATGGGTCGTCTATGAATTCATATTAACACCGAGCCATTAGGACACCTCCATCCAGGAAATCCCTCTGACCCTCGTGATACGACAGCTGCCTGAGTGTGAAACTTTAAAACTGACAATCCCTCTGCTATCACGCCGCTTCCGGTCCCTCTTTTTTTTCCCCTCTTCGTGTTTTTTTCCATCACTCAGCCGCACTCTGGCTGGATTGTCCTGGATTTGTCCCAATTGGAGAAAAAAAAACCTTAACAATTCCGCACAGGGCCCAGAGGCAGGGGGACGGAGCCAGCTGGTCATATTTGGTCACAACGCGAGGGGACACAAAAGCAGCGGACAAATACGTGACGACAGCCAAGAGGGCAGTTTGTCTTTCTCGCAACCTTTTGCAACCTCTTGTAAAAAACAAAAAACACAAAAACAAAGCTGGTAATATCTAATCTCAACTCCGATTCAAAGTCAACTGTCAGGACACATGGCTGTCTGCTGTATGGCTCCTGGCGTCTGCATCGCCGTCTGGAGAGCGTGCATGCCGGGGAAATCCTTGTCATATATTAAAAAACAGACTCCAGAGCAAAGAGAGGAGTAAGTGGGCTTTTTAATCTTGCAGCAAAAGTGAGGAGACAAGGCGATCAAATTAAACATGCAAAAACTCGCTCTTCCTCTCCACATTTTCCCCCTATGTCTCTCTGCCTGTCTTTCCCAGGCCTGGAGAAGCAGCCAACACAGCAATCTTAGAGTCTTGTTGGAGGGGAGGGATTCGAGGCCCCATGGGCTCTTTGGCTCCTTGGCTGGACAACAGTTTCCTGGCCTGAAGGGGTCAGCGGTGGGCTGTCTGAGAAACTGGCATCCATTTGGGGTTCCAGAGGGGATTTCTTTTTTTTCTAGAGTAGGGGGGTATCTTGTGGCTGGTTGGCATGGCGCGGACACTGACAGCTTCCAAATAGCGATGCTCCTGCCAGGGCCCGCTGAGCTCTCGCACATTACACTGCTACACACGGGAAAAGACCAGAGGCACTGGAGGCCCGCTGCTATAAAAGCCCCTGTCAGATTCATAAGAAAACGATCGGGCGCCTTATTTATTTAGGGTGTTCGTGCTGTAATGTTTCACAACTCTCAATACTCCAAACAATTATGTTGTAACATGGGGTATGACGAGGCTTAATTCCTGGCAGAAAGCAAACTTCATGAATCTCATGATAGTTGTGTCGAAGAATTTCCCAGAACTTATTATCTTTCCTCTCTTTTAATATTCTCTATACAACATACATTTTGTTTAGTGTGGGTGTTTTTGTGCCTCTTAACTAACATCTATGTTTTCTGGATTCAGCTTCTCCAACCTACCATTGTATTTTGTTCTCTTTGGAAAGCAGAATGTTGTAATTGACCCCAAATCCCCCAAACGTTCTGTGGTTGAAGGAGCAAAAACCTGTGCTTTGCCATCAGGATCAGGCAACGTGACATCTGTCTGCCGATGGTCCAACTCAACAAACGAGAAATAAATAATTTTCAGACTCGACAAATGTCTTGTTTGTGGGAAAATCATTGTAGGACGAGACCAAGGTTGCAATTTAAGAAATTAAATGTATGTATGAATTCCTCTGTTTTGAAAGAGATAAGGTCGCATGGCCAGAGTAAAATATTCATATATACATATACAACATATATTAATTCAATTGTATGCAGAGGGCACTGTGATTGGATTACATCTCAACCATCCAAATCACATCCAAAAAATTGTTAATATGTTGTATATATTTTTTATTTATATATCCCTCAGGGGCCATTTTGTATCTTGCCCAAGCATATTTTGGCTGCGGAATCAGGTAGACTAAGATCGAACTGCTGACTCTCTATTCAGTGGACGACCCACTCTACCTCTTGAGTCACAGCCGCCACAAGCTACAAGTCCAGCATTGGCAGCAACAGCAGTGTCCTGTTGTAAAAAGTGAACTGAAAGACGATGTTGCCTGTCCACAACATTGTTGGACAAATAAATTAAATCCTTTTTAAAATCCAGATATGTTAATTTACCTAGATCTCATTTTAATTTCTAGTGTAATGCGTCTTGGATTCATGCTGCTCATCCACACACTCTTCTCTACCTATGTGAAGGGAGAAAGCAGAGCCATGAAGAGGAATGTGTCACTTTCATTCTTAAAGCCTTGTTACATTCGTAAACACTCAATGTTGTTGGGTGGAGTAGCGTCTGTGCTTCCTTCTTTTCTCGAAATACATCACACAAAGACCTCGGAAATTTGGCAAAAAAAAATTGTGACTCAATTTAGGTTTCCCTCTGTGTTCCAACACTGGTGAAAATCAAGTTATGTTCGAGCAGTTTGTAGCTCTGGCATGGGAGTGTATATTGGTATATGTAACATATTAAAGAAGTCAGGAGTTTGAGTGAAATAATTATAATGTAGAAAAAGATGCATTTTTTATGGTATGTTTGAACATCATCAACCCTCATTTTTATATAAAACTTAATCCATTAGTTTGCATTCCTTTAATATCAATTTGTATAAATGCAGCTGTCTACATATGCTTGCACTCTTCAGAGTATCTCTGCTCAAGTATCCCCAAATCCTTTAGGCTTCAGGTTCCTTATGACAACTTTGCCTTTTTACCTTTTCATCCTTCCTCACATGCAAATATGTCTTTACCTCTGTCCTCTCATTCTTTTCTCCTTATATTTTTTTACCTAATTCCTTTCACTGTGCTTATTACTTTATCCTTTTATTTACTCCCCCTCTTTTGCCTCTTGTATTTAATGTAACCCCTCTCAGCCTGTTTTACCCTTTACTTATTCACTCCACCTCTGTCCTGCGTCTTATTTCTCCTGCCATGTCCCCGTTTAATCCCTATCATAAACCCATTTCCCCCCTCTTCCTCCACTTATTCCCTTTCCCCTTGTCCCTCTGCTTCTTCATATTTCCTTATCCCTGAGCTGATTCCCTTGTCCCCTCCACTCACTGCCTGTTGTATTCCCTGTCTCTCTTCTCATCCGTTTATCACTGGCCCTTGTTCTGTTAATCCCCGAGGGTTTTGTTTATTTGTGTTGGAGCTGCTTTTACAGCTTGCGACTGACCCCACCTATTTTCTCACCAGTCATTTGAACAGCAGGGCTGCTTTGCAGCTACTCCACCAATTAACATACCATTAGCATAATATTTGCATGTGTGCATTAGGGTGTTGATGGGGAGAGAAAATAACAGTTTTACAAGGTTTTTTTTCCCTTCCCTTAATAAAATGATATATTTCATGGAGTGACGTTAAAGCGCCCACGAGCTTCTTTATCTCACTTTGATACGGCTGCTCAGCGAACATCACGTTTTCAAGTTTGCTGTGAAAAAGTTGTGCAGCTCTCTTGCGATTAGCCCACCTACACGTTAACATCTGACGATCATTCAAATCATCTCTGCTCCTCTGAATTTGTTTTATCACGATTATGTTATTAGCAAACTATTACATAAATTTCAGTCTTTTAACCTTTTTTAGTTACATAAAATATAATAAATGAAAAGAGTAAAACTTTGTGATCTTATCTCATTTACTCTGCTTTGAATTTGACAAAGTGTTTCGCGTTTTATGTTGGGTGATGTTGCTGCAGTAAAGAAACCTCATGTGGTTGAGGTCAAAGGTCAAATGAGACAGGATGTCAATCTTATGACTGAAAGCAGAAATGAGCACAAATCATTGACAGACGGAAAACAAACAAGCGTGACACAAACACGCAGATATTTGGAGGGAAATAAATAAATGCGTACATTTTGACGGAGCCAGACAGGGAGAGAGGGGTGAAAGTAGGCCAGCTGCTGCTGCTACTGCCGCCGCTGATGGAGCCGGTGAGCATTTCATGTGAGAGTGGCGGCTGAGCAGAGGGGCGACGTGTCAGGGGCGTCGAGCCAGTTTCCCAGTCTTGATCGGGGATCAGCCCGCGGGCCCAGCTGTCCCGCTGCGTGCCACGCCTGTCCCTCACACGCCGCCGCTCTCAGATCTGTCACATTAGGGCCGTCGCTCAAGCACTGACGGCGCTTTGTGATTGTTTGTCTCGTGTCATGCTGATTACTTTGCTTATTGAGACCTGACTGAAGGAAGTGGAAGGAGTGGTGAGGAAGTCACACCTCTGGAACATCCGCTTGGTCATCGGCCACATCTTCTTAAACCCTCGATGTACAAACTTCTCCCCTCCAGAAACAACAGATACAAGGGATTGAATGTAGTTTCTTTATGCAAAGACACGAGGACTGAGCAGTGCTGTCATGTGATAATTTGCAACATGCAACTGTCACACATTAATCCAACATGTAAAGCTCCTCACTTAAATCACGGAAAATAAAGTAACTCTGTGGCCATCTGCCAAAATGATCAAATATATATATATTTAATGTGCCGTATTCTTGCATATCTATATTTTATTTTGCATCTCTGCATTGCATTACTTCATTTTTATGGTTTGAGTGCAGGCACTTTCTTATATGGGATTATTTTATGGATTCTTAATGCATCAGCCACCTAATATTAATGGTCCCCGGCACGGAGCCTCTTCTCACTTTTTTTTCAGATTCAGAATGAGGAATGACTAATGAAATATTTGAAATTTTTTTGCAGCTTAAGTACTTTGCTGAAATAATTTTTATGATGAGACTTTTATGAGTGTCTTCTCCTGTTTTAATGATGCTGCAGTTTGTGTATATATTAGTATGTTAGACAGAGTATTAGCAGGGCTGCCAGAGAAAGAGAGATGAAAGCGGAGGAAACAGCTCTAACAGATAAACATACATTTGGAATAATATGTGGTTTCTTGAATTCATATGCAATTTTAGCGTTTTGAAATTTCTGTTTACTTCAAGAATCAACCGAATAGTATTATATTTTCAAAGCAGATAATATATTTTTTCTTGTATACATCCTTTTATATATTCTGTTGTATAATCTCTTATAAAGTCTTCATATATCCTGTATATATACTTTCTATATAGTGTTCATATAGTTACTGTATATACTGTGTATGTATTCTTTACATATTCTGCATATACTGCGTATATCTGTTAAATATTCTGTATATTTTCCTTATGTATCCTTTATATATCATTAACATATACTTTGTATATATCTTGTGTGTATATATATATTGTTTATATATCTTCCTGCATACTGTTAACTCTAACCTGGGTTTATTTTATATATATGCTGTTATTTAGCCTTTATACATTCTGTTTATATATCATGTTTAAGCATAATTGTTTTATGTATTTTTCAAATTCATTCACGAAACAATCAATAAAAATATTTACAACATGTTGCAATACAATCAAATGTCATTCTGATATCACGGCTTTTATTTCTCCTTTTTTAATTCCACTCTACAGTTCCCTGTGTGTGTGTGCAGTCCCACCTCCTGCATTTTGAACTGTGTACTCACGCAGTATAAATGTAGTTATATATAATATCTAACAGGCCTGTTGGCCCTGGCTGTTCTGCTGCACTCAGCTCTCTAGCTGCTCTTGTCTCTGTATAATCCCTCCTCCTCATGAATACATTAACGCCGGAGCCTTAAACTCAGCTTAGCTGGCGGCTCAGCGTCACAGCACATCCTATTACCGACTTTAAATCATTAATGTGACATCGTTTTCACTCAATTTCCAAACACCCACAGTCGAAAAAAAACCCTGCACATTTGACTGAGCCTGCACAGAGCGAGGGCCACAAGTCACCCAGTGGAAAACACACATCGAGGCAAACGTTTCTGTGCACATGCAGGAGAAAAAGTTGGGGAAATTAATTCATATTGAAAAAAAAAGCAACTAAACAGGCGTTCAGATGTAAAGTGCCCACTGTAATAGTTTTCACTCCTTTGTCTCTGCTATTGTGATGGAAATACCCAGTGGGTGATTGTGGTTTAAGCTGAGCTAACACCTACAGTCCACCTTAGGGTATCAGTGTGTGCGTGTGCAGTATGTTCCTGTGTGTGTGATTTAATCTGAGTCTAGCCACCGTTAACATCCTCCAGCGTCTTGTGTAGTGCTGACAATAAAGGAAAAGAGAAAAATCTGAATCCCCTTCCTGCTCCTCAACTATTCAAACATAAACCTTTTCTCAGGTTTTTACCTCCAGGCTGCCACTGAAAAATTCAACAACGCCCAGAGAACAACTAAGTCCTCCACTTACCGTAGGAGTTGTGGATCTGCCCCCATCACGCTTCTTTATTGCATCAAAGGGGCTTTTTTTGTGTGTGTGTGAGTGTGTGTGTAGCTATGGTAATTAGCAAATCACATAAAATCATCTCCTCGGAGTGCATTTAACTGTTTTTATGTGCCGAGTGTCTGACCGGGCGGGTGGGGGTCGCTTGTGGAACATATGGACACAGATGGGGACAGCATATTAATGGGCACACTGAGTGGGATTTTGTGTTTTGTTTTAACCCCTTCAAAATAGAGGCCTGAACATCCTCAACATCCTTTAGCGAGCATCAATTAAAGATTTGTTTTTGAACTGGCAACAGCGGCACGGGGGCTGGCATCAGGCACTTTGACAGGGCTTCGGGAGCACACAGTCTCCTCTCTCTCTTTTTTAATACACATTTCATCACTCACACACTCATCATCCTCTCCTCTTCTCCCACGTTCCTTGTTGCGCTTAATTAGGTTATCAGGTTGCTAACGGGCCGCGATTCGGCTCCACGCCTCCCAGCTGACCCTCTGATTGGAGGGGCAAGAAGGTGGACTTAACATAATTAACATGTTGTTATGGAGATGATTGAATTGTTCTGCGACCCCGGTGGCGAGTGCCGCCACTGTGATGGCTCGCGTGAATGAAACAGGTGGAATATAAAAATATCACCTGTTTATGAACACTTTAAATGTATTTATCTTATTTATTTATCTTTTTATTAATTTCACACAAACACATAAACAAGACTTTTTTTTTGCTGTATTACTTTTCAAAAACAACGGCAGTGTATATTTGTATGTTTATGTGAAAGTGTTTTATTGTGTGAATGCATGTGTGGAAGTGAAGAAGTGACCAGGACCAGCACAAGTTTTACCGAACACATTGCTGTCTTTATTAGAGCCTTGTCTGGCAGTAATACTGAAAAAAAGTGAACTTAGAACAGATGGTGGTGGCAGCCCACGGCTTTTTTTTTTTTTTTTCCTGTTTTTCTTTATTTCTTTGATATTTTTTTTGTGAGAGTACTGCAACTCTGGCTTTTCTGTGGCATGGATATAACATCAATAAAAGAGACAGTAGGGAGAGAAAAAAAAGAAATATACAACTTATATTACACTGTGTTATGAACAAAATATAAATCTATAACTCTATGTTATATTTACATAATTATCTTTCTTGATTTTTCAAGTTGAGATGGTAAGATATTTTTTTTAACTTGTAATAATTCTTACTTTGTTTTGAGCTCCACTCATGACTTTGATTGTCTTAAATAATATTATTATCATCATCATCTTTTTCATTGTCTTGATATGGGGACAGACCTTGCCAGCAGGGATGATTGACGTCTTAATGCCCCCCCGATCCCCCAAGCCCCACCCACCCCCGTGATACCCTAAAAGGTGGCTCGATCCACTCTGCACCCTCCCCCCTCTCTCTCCAGCATCGGGTTGAACCACAGCGTGATAGCAGGGGTGACTATACAGCAAAATTAAGACCCGGAGGCTAATTAAGTGGTGCATGGCAAACATCTATATTGTGATTGTTGGGGGGGATCACTATGTGACGGCACACCTGAAGAGTAGTCATGGCTCCTGTAGCATCAGCGTGGAGCTAAAACAAAGCAAAGGGCTCCTGATGAGAAGTGACTGATACTGTAAGTGCGTTTGGTCGTCTCACACACACACACACACACACACACAGACATGCACACACACGCATAAACGCACACACACAGTGGAACACCCTTGGTGGATTATGGTAAACACTGCTTTCCTATGATTAAAAAGAAATCACTATCTCACAAAAACAAAATATATGTATTTTTTTAAATCTAGAATACTACAAAAATGACAGCATAGGATTTGTTTGGTTGTCATGATAATCTCTTCGTTTTTAGTGTGTGTATTAGTGATTGTGTTTGTGCATGCATATGTGTGTGTGTGTGTGTGGATCCAACCCACTGATGTTCCACTGTGTCTCAGTGAGGCGGCCAAACAAGTAAACGGGGACGGGATTCTTTGTTCACTGAAAACAGTTTCCAAAAGTGATAAAAACTGATTCCCCCCCCCCAAAAAAAGGCAAAATAAAACAGAGGAAACTTCACATTATACATTATAACAACCATTACAAATAAAATTATTATGACAATTAGAAAAAAAATACATTTTTCTCTGACTGCACAGAATCTGAGTGCTTTTCAGAAATGGGTGTGGACATGGAAAGGTCTACGTCTTCAGCTCGGAGGAGGGCTGGTGTCGAGTCCGTCAGTCCAGCTCGCTCTCATAACTCCGCCCGCCTGCCCACCCATCCTCAGGATTAATACAAAAACAATGCGGCAAAAAAAGAAGGGAACAATGAAACAAAGAAAAGGTAAAATGACAACTTGTGTTTAGATCTAAATACCTACAGCTATAATAGAATAATGTTTCATTGACTGTCATAGTTTCATATGGTCATAAAAACCCGATAAAGAGGAGAAAAATAAATTATACTGTACATAACTTACTAAACTTAGGAAACGCTGACCGTCCTTATAATTATTGTTAATAATATTATTAGACTAGAGGCAGCTTGAAGAGAAAATAATAAAATACAGTATTCAAATACAAACAGAAACACTGACTGGCTGACTTCACCTCATCTCTGCCCACTGGGGACAGCAGGACGACGCTGATTGAAGGGAGCGGGAAAAAACACTGAGGGACAGAACAACAGTTGTGTGTGCGTGTATGTTTGTGAACATGCGTATGTGTGCTACAGTAAAGCTAAATCCATACTTCTATGTTTACGTTTGAAAGCGTTTTAATACCCGTCCATACTAACCCGCCTGAAAACGCATATCACGTGACCACGTACATTGGGCATGTGCGTGCCGGTTTACACAGTAATTGTCGCAGATTGCTTGAATAATAGCTCATCAACTCCAAATTGTTGGCAGTTGTATCACTGTAAGATGTAGAGTTACACTGCACAAAAAGCTGTTAGCAAAGACGACAGGGTCAGCAACATGTGTAAATGATTATGCATGTTGCGTTCTACAGACCAATCAGTGAAGGCTATGCAGTGACCAAAAAGACCCAATCAGCAAGCGGTTGTGAGTGTCTACATTGTCGTTTCCAAACATCTCAGTTTCTGCTCGTCCAGACTAGAATGCGACCCCAGAGTTTTAAAACTAAAACAGAGGCAGCAGCATTTCCAAACCATTTTAGCGGCTCTAAACATACACATAGTAGTGTGGATGTAGCCTGAAGCACAGAAGCAGCATGAGTTGCCTGTATTTACTGTGTCTTGGACGTTTCTCGCTTCTTTCAAAAAGATGACACTCAGTAAAGTGAGTACACAGAACACGCACCGACACTCACACACACACTGTGTCGGAGCTGAGCGATGCTCCGCCCTGCAACAAGATCGCGACAGAAAGGGGACGGAGCGAGAGGGAAAACTGGTGGATTGTCTCACAACACAGTGCTTTCGCATCTTGCTCCATGACCCCACAGAGACTCACCCCCCTTCCTCCTCACCTCTCCCACCCTGAAAATCCAGTCAAAGGGGGAACAGTCCACGCTGCGCTGCAGGACCGTCCCCTTGGATTCCTAACAGGTGGTGGTGGGTGAGGGAGAGGGCAGTCACAAAAACACAGAGAAAAAAAAGGGGTAAGGGAGGGAGGTCGCTGACAGCACGCTGCGAGGTCGAAGAAAGATATCATTTTGTTAAAAATAAACATGTCTGATGTCTCTCAGGTGCTTTACAACAAAATGGGGGGAAAAGAAATGTCTCTTTTTTCTATTATTATTCAAACTTGTAGCACAAAAACAACAAATCACATTCACAAGCCACTTATTGGCACCGTGTACCTGAGTGAGAATATTATAGAACCAAAGAACAAAAAAGCTGTTTTTTAACTTTTAAAAGTGTCTCTTGATAACAAACAGGTCCGCCATCTTAAAGTGTCATCTGTTTGGCCTTTTGACAGGTCCACTGTTTCGTCATTTTTCATTTTCAAAACGTCTCCTCGTCTACAAACAGGTCTAAAAGGTTGCTTTTTCTGAGTGTGATTTTTTTTATTTCTCCTCACTTGGTGCATTACTCAAACTCTTGCAGTAGTACTTGAGTATTCCTCAGCAAGCATCAGGAGTCGTCTCCGGTCGTCTCCTCCTCTCAGACTTCGGTTTGTGTAACAGTCAGTGTGAGTGACAGGTCCTGTGCTTCAGTTGATTGATCAGATGCTGGTATCAGGACTCCGTTGGGAGGGGAGCTGGATAGTAGGGTTGGGGTCTGGCTCTGTTAAAAGAGTCCATGTCAGTCAGGAAGTGGGTAAAGGGTGGCAGGTTTTTGTGAGATTAGGACTCAAAGTGATTGGCAAAAGAGAAAGTTCTTCTTCCTGATTGGTGGGTTTGGTATTTTTTTCTGAAGGGATGGGGGTTAACCAGCTGTGATTGGCTTTTAAAAGTACGCGGCTCTCGTGGCGTCCTATTGGGTGATATGGTTTTCGTTATCGCTGGTGTAGTCGGCCTCTTCGTCCTCGTAGTCAAAGTCGTCGTACACATCGCCGTTGCTGTCGTCCAGCCGCAGCTCCTCCTCCTTGATCCGTGGCTCGTCCCCTTTCAGGCTGGGCATGTGGGGGTTCTGGTGGTGGTTGGCGTTGGGTTCGGGGCTGCTGGACATGCTCGAGTGCTCGGAGGGCATCTGGGGTGAGGGCAGCCCCGCCATGGACAGGGCACCTGGGTAAACCACGCCCGCTGAGGACAAGGGCAGCTGGCCCTGCTGCCTGTGAACACAGAGGGGAAATATTATACTATCTTATCACTATATATATTATATTAGAATGGCACTCAGTAGTGAGCATACACTTTTGGCAAGGCCCAACCGTCACCTTAAATTCAATCATATAAATATGATTATATATATCTGTCCCCTAAATATGCCTGATTTTTGTCATCAAGATCCATGAAACTTGGGAAAAAGGTGAAAATGTCAAAAAAAAATACCAGATCTTGTCTTTTAAAGAAAGACAGAAAGAAAAAAAAAAACCTGGATAAGCATCAAAATGAAAAGGCTTCTTCTCTGACCAATAGCACGTCCTTCCACCCAGTTTCATGGAAATTTGTTAAGTAGTTTTTTGTGTAGTCTTACTCACAAACTTAAACAAACAAACAAAGACAGGGATGAAAACACAAGTGCATGTACAGTAGGATTTAAGCTTAGGTGAAAACTACAATTTAATGAAAAATACTGACACGCCTCCTTTAGCAGTGACACCTCTTAAAGAATACTGTCACTTTTTGGAAAATAAGCTCCTTCAGGTTTCTTGCAGAGAGTTAGAGGAGAAGATTGATATCACTCTCATGTTTGTGTGTTACACTGGGGTATTTGTATGAATCAAACAAACAAGATATATGTTGGGTTTTTTACGTTTTGACGTAAACAAGGCAGCATTTTGCCTCCATTCCTTATCTTTATGCTAAGCTATGCTCACCAGACGCCGGCAGGTAAATGATAAATCAAAGTGATATCAATCTCAAAAAAGTACTCTTTCAAAATGTTTACATAACCAGCTGTGATCAGTTCTACCAAGGATTGTAAATTTCCTTTTGTTTCCTTAGAACATTTTTAGAGGTCTAGAGAACATTTTAAAAAGTAATAAGTAAAAAAGTACTTTATCATACCTACATTAATGTTGGGGTTGAGAAACCATTGTTCTCGAGCTTTTGCCTTATTACAACAACAAATCTTCTACATCAAGAAAATGGTTTGCTTTTTAACAAAGCAAAACTCAGAAAAAAAATCTAAATCAAAATTTAACTAATACCTTGTTGTTTACTGGACATTTGAAATTTGTTAGCAAATGTACTTCATGTTCAATAAATACTGTAGAAAATGATTTGTTTTTTAAATATCCACTATGAGATGTGGTTCCTGT